TTTATTGTTTTAGTTTCACTCGCTGGTCGAAGTCTGTCCCGTGTTATCGCCACTTTTAGTGGTGTCCTGGTGATAGTTATTATAATGTCTTTGTCCATGAGCCGTAATAGCTTTTTCAGCGACACAAGCGGATGTCTTCATAACCCAGATTGTCATTATTTGGGTTCTCATTTTGTGGCATGTCACCATTGCCGTTATTATCAGAGTTTTCGTATTGTGGTTGTCGCTGTGTTGTTCGGTGTCATTCTGATTGTCATGATTTAGGTCGCTCAGTCGTAATGGTTGTCATTGAGTCTGCGGTCACCTTTTAGGTTGCCATTGAGGTCGTAATTAAATTGATCACCTTCAAGGCCGTTGTAATCGGGGTCGTCATAGTCTAGCTTGTCATCGTCGAGGTCAGTCTCGCGGTGGCTGTTGTTCCTGTCGTGCGCTTCAATGACCGAAAGGGAAGCTTTGTTTCCGTCGTCCGCGCTTTTTGGCGTCCACCACGCTGTCATATTGTACACAAAGATAGACGATTAGGAACGCCGATGTCCGACGGATGGTGTTGAAGCAGACTGGGACGTAGTTCAACTGCTCTACTCAAACTACTGTAGTTTAACTACTTTTCCGAGTTACCTTGTAACTTTCAATTACAACTTCATTTGGGTAATTAGTAGTTTCATTTAACTACGTTTTTCAGGTAATTTCGACCCAAATTATTAACTACTTTCGAAATTTAGTGATAATGTTGCTCATCACAAAAGTTCGAGCGCAGAAATAAATAAGACGCCGGTGAATGGAGTGGTATTTTTGAACAAGGGTACCCCTCACATTCCGTTCCCACGCACTTATACTCGGTAACACGACGGTGTCCTGGGACCAAGAAGACGACAAGCAGCCAAAAACTTAACACCGGCGCGCACGAACGCAGGCAGAGATGCTTAAAAGCCTTGGTCAAGCATTGACCTAGTCCGGTAATGTACACAGGCGCCGCGCCTCCCACTGCAACCGTGAAAGACGGGGACACTGCGGGGGTTGTTGTTTTCATGTTGTCTGCCTTTAGTGAGTTCTGACTCAAGCGGTTTGGGGGTTCCTCGGGAGACCCCACTGAAATGACCTCGCAGCTGGGCGCCTGCTCCCATAGTCGTCTCGTCGTCACCGCATATTCCCTTGCAAAGCCAAACTCCCGCAGACACGCTTAATCCTTTCAAGGGAGGACGTTCCCTCTTCCAGCTGCAACTGTACGAGCGCCGATGCTTGTTCACGTAATCCTGCGCGTCCTTTCGACCTTCCACGTCAGGGAGACCTCTTTGTTGAAAACGTTTTGCTTGTCAGGCGTGTCTGGCACGTCAGGATACCGTAGTCGCCGGTGAGGATTGCGAGTCACCCTTGGGAGATGCGTTTGTTGGAACGTCTTTTTAGCTTTGCCGGGGACGTCTTTAGGAGGGAAAGGGGAAAACTTTACGATAAGAACTTTAAAAGTCAATTCCTTCTGTGAGCGAATAAGCTATTTTTGTGAAAACGCAAGACATAAAGTGACTCCATTTATTTTAGGCTCGCACGGCTTTTCACGAATCAAAACGGCTCTTCATTTTGCTACCACAAAAACATGAAAAGTAACTTCGAAAGTAACTTCAAAGTAACTCGCTACTTCTTACGGTAGTTAGTAGTTTAGTCAATTACTATTACAAATGCGTAATTCCTACTCTACTCTAATTACTTTTGGTGTCGATACTCAGTAACTTAGCTACCTTTCTTGAGTAATTTTTACATGTCTGTGTTAAAGCTTCCTCGCGCAGCCGTCGCGTGCAGACCCGACAAACGTCTACTGGCCACCGCTACACAGCGCCACCGCCCCGCTACAGCCACTCGCAGGCTCGCCGAGTCTCTAGTGGCTGGAAGGCGAAAAATGCTGCCGTCGTTGTGGCCCACGGCACCCACCAATTTGTCACGTCGTTGACGGAAATACACGATTGTGAATTCATGCCAACGAAGGTACTGATTGTCTCCCACCTCCAGTCAGCTCGGTAGCCCAGCGGCCTCTTGCAAGCTACAGCAGATCCGTCGTTGCAGCAGCTTGCATGTCGCAGTTCCTGCTCCATGTTACCCATCGTCCATGAAGCGTCACTGCATCGTTCCATTCGTCGTTTCCGTTGACACTCGTATTTTTCCGTTAATGACGCGGTGCTCAGGTCACAATGAGTGTTGAGTAATAAAGGACGAGGAAGAGCGCGCGGAAGATTGGAGAGCACGCGGGGCATGGGCACTCGTAATTTCAGTGTTCCACAAACGGCCATCGGAACAGGACACCGTCGCGGGTCCTTTCCTCCACATACATTTGGTGCCGAAATCCGGGATGTGTCCTGTTGGAATCCGAATTCCGCTCTGCTCGGTGACGGTTGAGCGGGAAGAAAACTGTTTATATATATGTAGAGAAAACAGACTGTACAAATAGCAGAACATGATGGTACAACCGGCTCGGGAGCGAATGGTCTTCGTGAGCCCTGTCTTCTTCGTCATAGACATTTTCTCAATTTCGGCGGACGCTAAAACCCAAGCTAAGCCGAGAAATGCTCAGCTTTATTGCTCTGACTGACTTTCTGGTACCATAGCTTCGTTCTTTCCCGAATTATGCTGACACTGTGGCAGAGTCTACAGTGCGACAAAACTTTAGGACGACGATATGTAACCACGTTTTATGCATCTCAGTTGAGGTGAGAGAAAGTGGGTGCACGGCAAACAGAGCAATGATTCAAAGAAGAAATCACCCAGCACTCTCGTTCCTTGTTCAGCTAAAACCATGAAGGTGACAAATTTGTAGGACATGGTGCATTAGGGCTGTTTCACGCATTTGCATCACAAGTAACTGCAACGACCAAATGCATTGAGAGATAGGCCAATCAGTTGCAACGTGTCGTCACGACAGCGTAACACCATTTCTCCCCACTTTAAACGACGCATGTGATAAATTGTGTTTAAAAACAGACTGATCATTCTTCAGGGGTGCCTGGCAACGTACATTTGATGCAGGGAACAGACCTAGGTAAAGTCAAGGAAAATTCATTGCACGTGTAAAGTGATCTTCTTGACTTCACCGTTAGTCACAGTTGTAAACTCGCACATTCTGGTTAAGAACAATCAGTGTTGTTCGAGCATTTTAGAGCCACGGATTCAAGACAGCAAAGAGGCTTGTACCTTCGTGTTTAAGTTGTCTACTCGGGTGCGGTGAGTGTTATGTGGCTTCGAGCATTCGACAGTTAATATTGAGCTTTCTGTGAGTGATCAAGCTTAAGCTGTTAGAGGCGTATATTATAAAAGCCGTGTCCAAGGGATGCACATGTGCACATGATTGCATCATCGGAGTGAAATGATCTGGCTACAACTAGCATTTTAGAATGCTTACTTTCTAAACGTGATATATGAAGTATATCACTTTGCTGTTGAATTATGACCGAGGTAGAACTTTTACTAGCAGTGAGTGCAAAAGGGGAGCTTCTTGTTAAATAGTGTGTTTTTTTGGATATAAAAAACTTAAAGACGTTTACAATTATCTGTAATGCCAAATAGGAGCGCAGCTCTTGAAGAGGAGGAGGGGAGGATACGGAGGAGAGGGTATACCCCTCCTCCCCCTCCATACCTCCCCCTCCTCCTCTTCTGCTCTTATCCCACTTAGCGGGAAATTTTCGTTATATTTCCCGCTGATTTTATCGCGAAATTTTTCTTTGAATTTAGCGAGAAATTTGCCGCTACACTTAGCGGTAACATTTGCCCGTTAAATTTAGCGAGGAAATTTTTCTGCTAAATATAGCAGGGAAGTTTTTCTACTAAATTTAGTGGGAAATTTCCGAATAAATTGAGCGGGAAAATTTCCCCGCTAAATTTTTTCGCGCTAAATGTAGAGGGGAAATTTAGGAAAAAATTTCCCGCTAAATTTAGCAGGGAAATTGTTTCATAATGCAAGGCTTGGCTACAACTGGTCGCATTATTCCCATAATGAAACGCGCGCGTTACGCTGACGCCGTCGGTGACGCCGCTCAAGCCGGAAACGGGCACCTAAGAGCTGCGTTCTAAAATGAATAATAAAGTTAATTGTTTGAGTTTATATGACTAAATATATCTTAATTGTTCAACTAATAAATATATTGTTTCTTGGCCAGGATTACTGGTCGGACACTGCCAATGACGACTCCATAGTGCGGGCAAATGTTGAGTACCAGCATGAACCTAAGCCACCGTACTAAAGCAGCAATCAGCCCACAATATCTGAGACTTGCAATTCTAACTATAGTGAATGCGGTAAACGAGTGACATTCAATGGGAGAACATGGCCGACGAATAGACTACAAATGCCTATGACTCTGAACTGTTGTTAGGACATCACATATAAATGGGGCGAACAGATGTCAAAGAACAGGTATCGGCTTTCGTCAGTAAAACATGGCCGTTGATCGCAAGTGAACAGATGGTGATTAACGATTGTTAGCATTTGCCACAGGAACTTGACCGTGGAGTGCACTTAAATACCAGTTATGGGCTTTCGTCCTTTCAAAACAGCTATTGAATGCATGCGAGTACCCGGTGAACACGTGTTATCGGGTTCCGTATCTTTAACATGATATTTGAATGCGATTAGTATCCGTTGAATCTAGACAATTGGCAAATACCGGGATTCTTCGGCCTATAAATCTCATATGATTCCTGGTGCTGGCCATAACCGGTCAGACCTTGTGTTCACCGGTTATGGCCATACCTACCATACCCTGTAATGGCCACTGTTGGCCCATGATAGTGTGCTGCCTGAGATAGTTCTTATATTCTTGAATGGTTGATACTTCTCAGAGTTTTTCGCTTTAATTTAGCCACGAAGTAGATAACATTTTATTTCAACTTCAATGCGCTTCACAAAGACAAATAAAAATATCAAAGCTTTATTTCCGGAGGTGCGCGTATTAAGAGTAAGAAAACAGAAAAGAGCCAAAGGAATGTACGTTGGAGAATATGAAGTGCGATTCTCCGAATCAGGCTTTACGTACCACCATGTTAAAAATGAACACGTCTGAACTTCCCAAGAAACTTCCAATTTTATGGGGTCGGTATAGTTCTATCTGGAGGCCAGCATCAGTCATGGCTTCTTTCAGTACATTTTCGGTGAGGTTCATGACAGTAAAATCAGCGCTTCCGACTTGATATTCATTTAAACCACCCACGCCAAAAATGACAAGCAGACCGCCAGGTTTCGCGAGTGTTACCACGTTGCAAACAACCCTTCGATATGATTCGACGTCTACTGCTGCCGATTCCAGGCATCCGGAGGAAATAACGACGTCGAAGTTTTCCCTGTGTTCCACTGGGAGCACTCCGCGCTCCAGCACACCGCAGGGTACCACATTGTGGATGGCCGCACGTGTGCGCTCCAGTATTTCTATCGCCCCCTTCTTGATGTCGCTGAAAAGGAGAAGGAAGAAGTGTTTGTCAGCTTTTAGTCAGTTACACAGTATGGCAGTGTGCAGAGATACGAGCATAAAAATCAAAATCGTCAAGGCTTGGTAGTTATTTTATTAAGCGGTTCGGATCAAAAGGTTTAACCCACATGACAGTCGAGCTAAGAGATTATTTGAGTCAACAGATTTATGGGATCAAGATCTTCAATATGGCTCATGAGGTCAAATGGGGGTGAAGATATCGAATGGGTGTCAAGAGGTCCAGCGCGTCAAGTGATGCAGCGAGTCGAAAGATCTATAGCTTGTTAAAAATGAAACTCACAGCGGAATATGTTTATCTAAGTCATGTTCACCATTAGGCAAAAGGCGATGAAAAAACAATTTTATGCTGTAGGACGGTGTTTCGGGCTCTGAATTGCGATTTCTGCATAAAACATGTAAGTAACCGTAGATTTGCTTTAAAAGATTTATCTTTATTTTTAGACACTGCACTGTGTCATCTGTTGGGCGAGTTTTAAGACACATCTAGGTTTTACGTATTTGGTTAGTACACACTTGTGATAGTCGGTGATGCATCTCGAATAAAAAAAACGTAAAAAAGAACGGCGCAGTCAAAGAAACTGGACAGACCAAGCGTTTACTTCCAACTGATTTTACCATGAAGAAAATATAAACCTGCGTAATCTTAAACATGCCACTACATTGCTAACATCATTCTATTGCTTCGCTGTGTACAAGATATGCGATCTTTTTTCATATTACGCGATTGACGGTGCACTGGCACTCGTGCCTTCCGCATACTCTGTCATAATGAATCCTTCAGTTATCGCACGAGTCCTTTGCTTGGCTTGTCGCGTCATTACCTCTCTTTCAGCAAATCTTGGTTCAAACGCCCATCTATTGAAACGGATTGGAAGATGCCCACTGCGCGATGATTTAACTGCCAACGCGTGCTCCCGATATCTATCGTTCACACATCTGACCGACTGACTAGTGCATACGTTGCCCCACGACACAGGGATTTTCTCACCAATTTTCACTTCGCATTCTACAACCCTGTTTTCATGTTTATTTTCGCAACGTACCGCTGGCCTTATCTCCGGCTAAAATATTTCACACAACTCTTTTCACTTTTTCAGGTGCAGAGAACACCACTGGCGCACTGTTCCTCCGCTACCTTTTTATCCAGTGTTCTTCCGCCACACAAAGTCTCTTCAGAGCTGTAGTAGTTTTATACCTGCATAAAGTCAGTCACCGACTGAAAAAAGGCAGCTGAGAACACAGTGCACCAGTGGTGTCTGCACCTAATAAATCTGAAAAGTAGTCTGCCAATATTGAGCAGGGTGGAAAGCCTGCGGTACACTGGGAAAGGAAACAAAGAGACAGGTTGATAAAGTCTGAAGTGAAGTGGAAATTGCATTAAAATATCTTTTTTGAATGGGGCAGAGTATACATTGATTAGTCGGCCAGATATATTAACAATACCGGGTGTTATTTTCTAACTGCACCAAATTAAACAAAAAAGAGCTGCATTAGGGCACTCTCAGTTATTTCATTAGCCAGCCAGACTCGGGGCCCACAAGGAAGAAGGATTTTAGTGCAATTAGGCGGGCAATTAACATATATTTCTTAATTAACCTTTCAATTATTGCTTTTATAGGGCCAATTGCATTTATGAAATTGAAGCCCAGCCTTCATATGCTCCAACCGCACGCCAAAACAAAGGCTCGAAAACTCCCTGAGCGCGTTATTGACCAAATTTTTTCATTCCCGCAGGCTCTTTCAAACCGGAACTAACCAGGACATGAGCGTTAATGACGTCGATATCTTGGTCCTTGCTTGGCATCACAGCTATGACGTCACCTTTGATGCAGGCACCACCGTCAGCGCTATCACGATATATTATTCTCTCCTATGTGTTTTGCTAACCACGGCCGGTGTAATCTTGGCGTCTACGGTCGCCGCCTGCTGCACTGTGTCATATCCTCCTGCTGACCCGCGGGCAACGCGACGCTTTCATCGGTACGATAAACGCTGTTGCATGCATTACCAACGGCCGGAAACGCTAGACGAGCTTCCTGCGTTTTATTTTGGAGAGATACTTTTTTGATGCTGGAGACTTCTACTACTCGTTATTTGCCACCGATTCTTTATTTCTAAGTTCTTGCTTTTTGATACATTAAGCTAGTCAGCTTTTTTTAAAGGACAAAGTAATCATGATTGTGTAATATCACTCGTTGGCCCCTGTGGAAATCAAACAATTGCACTGTGTAATGTTAGGTTCTGGAAGGAGGGACGAGACCACAGGAACGTCAAGCGAGGGTAGGGTTTTCGATGATATAATTAGAAAGATGAGGGGATGAATGGTAGCTCTCGGCTCAACCAGACCGAGCGTTCCTCTCGTCGCGCACACCCCTGGTCCCGCGCTCCCCTTTTTATATCCGGTTCGTTGATGCACGTCACGGTTTGCGCAGCCTTCGCTTTCGTTGATTTGTGGAGCTGGAGGTGGTAGCGACAGCAACTTGGCTGCAGCCAGTTGTTCAGGATGGCGCAAGTCTTTCAATGGTAGTTGATGAAGAAAAGTCTCGCGCCGTGGCTTGCGGATGATAAATGCCCGGGTGCTGTGGTCTGCAGTACAGGTCGGTGGTTCCACTCCTTAACAACTTCGGCGCCGGCAAGGTGGTCTGTCGGATGGTGCCAGCTTGCAACTTGCCGGTCGAGAGACCTCCAGAACGCCGCCGAGGTGCAGCAGGCCTCAACAGGCAGATAGAGACAGAGACAGCGAAGCGAGCGAAGATGGACGTCCGCACGCTCAAGGTCACCTGGTGTGTCTACTCTTTTTCGCAAAATTGCATGGGGATTGTACTACGGCATGCATGTACACAGAGCAAAAAATAGAGTCTATTCGGGTAGCGTTTTGTTCTTTCTAGTCATCTGCATAGCGCAGGCAGAAATTAGTCGCTGCGATGTATGCGTTTGGATTCAAATAAAACAAATTTTGTTTGATCACCATACAATTCCCTTGTAGTGGATGCTCCGTCTTAGTCTACGCCGTTACTTGCATTTAGCAAATAGAAAGTGGTAGCGTGTTACTCTACATCCGCATTTGTATTATCCCGACCTTTTTTGTATTCAACTGTGAAGTTGTATTGCTGTAGAGCTAAACTTCCACCTCAGCAACCTTCCACTTTTCGATGACATCTGCTGAAGCAAAGTTAAGGGGCAGTGATCTGTTTGGTATATAAATCTAGTCCCATCTAACTAACAACTAAGTTTTTGAGCCGCCCATACTAAACACGCGCATTCCTTCTCGGAGGCACTGTAGGCCTCCTCACGACAAGTCAGTTTTCGGCTGGCGTATAAAATTGGGTGCTCATTGCCGTTCTCATCCTTTTGGCACAGCACCCCACCAATACCTCGGTTGCTGGCGTCGCATTTAACAATGAAGGGTTTTGTGTAATCAGGTGCTCTTAACACTGGTTTAGTTGTCAGTGATTATTTAAGGCCACTAAATGACTGCTCTATTTGATCCGTCCAAACAATCACCTTTGGTTCGCTCTTTCGGAGTGCATCCGTTAGCGGACTCGCCATTTGTGAGTAATTGCTGATAAATCTTCGTATCCTGTTAACGCCAGGAACGTTCTTATATCGGACTGTGTCTTGGGTCGAGGAAATTCTTTCACGGCCAACATGTTAATTTTTGTTGGCCGGCAAAGTCCCTGACCGGCAATGTGTCCCAAGTAGGTCACTTCCGCCCTCCCGAACTGATGTTTCTTTGCCTTAATGGTAAGACCGGCATTGCGAATGCGCTCCAAGACAATATGCAAGTAGACGAAATGTTCTTTCTATGATTCCGAGCAAATGGCGCTATCATCTAACTAAGGCAAAGGAAACTGTTCCGTGCCCTTAGAACCACATCCATTTATTTACTTTGAAAAACAAAACGGTGCGTTTTTCTGTCCGAAACGCAGAATGAGGGGACGAAATGTCCCAATCGGAGAAATAAATGCTGCATATCTAACGGCACGCTCCGTCATCTGAACTTGCCAATAGCCTCTCATTAAATCTATATTCGAAATTTACTTGGGTGAACTGACCCGCTCGATTCGGTCTTTAATATTTGTTATCGGATAAGTGTGATCTCTTGTGATGAGGTTCAATCTACGGTAATTAACGTACGCTGGGATCTTTCCCCGGTGCCTCTACTGAGATTATAGGTGACATATAATCACTTTCGCAGAGCTCAATGACCCCCAAATCTAGCGTTGTCTGGATCTTAGCTCTGAGGATCTCTTTCTTACGCGGTGACACTCTGTATGGTCTTGAACGAACCGGCACATCCGATGTTAGTTCTATATCATAAGTGACGAGTGTAGTGTAACCCGGCCGGTTTATGAATAAATCCTGAAATTCTCCTAAGACCTTTCTTAGATCTGCAACTTGGCTTACGTCTAGTTCTGACAGCTTTACAGAAACCTCAATTACCTCCTCTTTAGTAAGTGCTTGAGAGGGTACTTCAAGCTCCGGAATATCTTGTAAGTGTATTTCCTTCACTTCCCCAAGGGTGAAGTTGACCATACTTTCCCTCATAATATAGGGTTTCAGCAAATTGTAATGATAGATATTAGTTTTGTTTCCTTGTCTCGAAATGACATAATCTATGTCCGACAGTTTCTCTTTAACTGTTGCAGGTCTTTCCCAGTGAGCTTCTAACTTCATTTCCCGAGATGGTTTTAGGACCATCACCTTCTGTCCAACCTGGAATTCCCGATGTCTGGTGTGACGGTCATAATATTTCTTAGCAGATATTTACGCCGTCTTCATGTTTTCTGCCGCGGATGTCCTGCATCTGCTATAGCTTATTAATAAGGCGGAACACATGCTCAACAAATAGGATGTCCTGATCTGCCTCCCATACTTGTTTGATCATTTTTAATGGCGATCTCAACGTTCTCCCATAAACTAGTTCCGCTCGACTGAACCCTGTCGCTTCATGTGGCACTGTTTTTCAAGCGAACATGGTTCTAGGCAAATATCTATCCCAATCTTCTGCACGGTTGAGACAAGCAGCACGTAGCATTCGCTTGAACACAGAATGCCACTTCTCTACACTGTTTTTCTGTGGGTGGTACACTGAGCTGCGAATCACCTTAATGCCTAACTTCTCTCGAAAGGTCGTCGTTAACTCGCTAACGAACACACTATCTTGATCCGTCTGAAGCTCCTTTGAAAATCCTACCCGAGCGAAAACGGAGAACAAAGCATCCACAACTGCCGCTGAGGAAACCTCCCTCAGTGGTACAGCCTCTGAAAACTTCGTTGCTGGGCAGAGCATTGTTAGAACGTATTTAAACCCTCTTTTTCTTAATGGCCCCCTTAATATCTAGAACAAGCTTTCGAAATGGCATTGTGATTATCGGAACCAGTTTCAAAGGAGCCTTTTACCTCTCATTCGGTTTGCCTACATTTTGGCAACTGTCACAAGATCTTACAAAGTTTTCAGCGTCTTTAAAACAATTTGGCCAGTAGTAGTCCTGGAGAATCCTTTCCTTAGTCTTAGTGATACCTAAATGCCCTGTCCAAGTGTTGCCGTGACATACAGCCAATAGGTCTGCACGGAACGTATGTGGCAGTACGACTTGTTCTAATGTGACCCCGCTACGATCACTGAACCGTCAATACAAAATACCAGTTTTTTTTAAAGGCTATCTTTTTTCGAGCGATTCCAAGGGCAAAAGTGTCCCGGCAATGGCTGATCGAGTCGTCTGTTTTCTGTTCTCGAATTAGCTCTGCGCGGTTTATGGTCAATAGCCCTTCCAGAAAAGTCGCCTTAAATGTGAAGACTCCCTCTTTTCAATTAGCGTCTAATAAAACTTGTCCGTCTTTTTGCAGGAAGACTCGATCACCTTCTACTTCGTTCAGTTTGTCTCCCTTACTGTCTACAGGCACTGCTCTATTGATTTCTTTATTCGAGTCATTGCTACCAGCGCCAGGCATTGCCGTTGTCTCTTCCCTGTTTGTTTCATCGCAAGGTAACTGACGCGAAAGCTTACGAGGTTGCGCTCTTGTCAGAGCTTGAACGACACCTAATGAGCCGAGTCATTAGAAAACCGTCAGGAAGACTCCCACGAAAGACCGTCGGAGAGTAACGTTATTAAGGAGCATCGCGTCAATTTCCCCGCCAAGTATAGCGACAAAACTGTTATCACGCCTATCTAATTTATCTGATACATTTAGCAGAGATATAAAAGTGCCTTGAACACGTCATGTGCCGTGAAGTTACGAGAAGTTCATTTCCACTCTTACATTTAGAGTGTAAATTGATTTTACGGGACCACGTTTTTTTTACATCAAGCCACGTGATGTCGATTTCGTCGCTATATGTAGTTGGGCTATTTGACGTCACGTGACCGCGTCTTGTGAGCTTACGCTACATGACGTCAGTTTCCGCGCTAAAGTTTGCAATGAAATTGCCGTCACGTCAGCTTAAACTAAAGACATGATGCCCATTTCCCCGCTCCATTGAGTGGAAACATTTTTATCTCGCGACGTGAACGAAAGTGTCGCGATGACAATTTTTGAAAGGTCGTTCAGCAAGGTTGTAGTTTGCTCTGAACACATTTTGTGATTCCCAGACCTTGTCAGCATGATCAAGATTATATAATTCTTCAGATGCGAAAAAGAAAACTCTAGAGGTCTGGGAAAGTGAAGTAGTTTTAGTGGAGAATAAATACGCAAGCGACTGAATAAAATACACTAATGCGGCATTGATTTGTAGAGCCCTATATACCTATAGCCTTCAACGGCAGCAATCTTCTCTGCAAAGAGGCTCCAGTCAATGGCATCTTCATCCCTGTTCATCCACTTTTTAAGTTCAAGCCTGTTGTCTTCGACCAAGTCGCTCAGCTCGATGAGCTTAAATCGACCGGAGGTCATAAGGGCGTTCAAAATCACCGGACCGCTGCCTGCATCCAACAGGGTCTCGCCCTGAATCAGATCTATAAAAAGCACACAAGAGGTTTATATCGGCTAAGCTTAACTGCCTCCCCCAAAAAAAACTTTACTTCATTTTTATCTTAAAAAAAAAATTCTAGTTCACACATGCATTACCTATTTTGTACTCAAGCTTTATGTGTACACTTATTCTCGGGTGAAGCACTGAACTCCTCGCCCAATACAAAAACGAGGTTGGGAAGTGACTTCGTTCCAGAGCCATAGCTCTTTTGGGTTCTCCTTTCAAACTGCCCGCCTTTTTCACTGTTACGTCGCCTTGCTATGCGTGCACGCGAGTGCGCGTGCTATGTCGGGCTTTAAACGTGACTTTAATTGTAGATACAACTACAGCGTGAACTACAGTCACTGACGAGGTGGGGACGACGAAAACGAGTTTTACTTGTCCTTCGTTCAGCCCGAGCTGTTTACTTTCGGTAATGCTTCGGAGTGTCGTGCAGTTCGAGCATGCGATCGCGGTCGAACTTGAAGCAAGGCCAAGGCCGTGGAGCGTGTGCTGGAAGCCGGCCATTTAAGATGACCATAGCCTCTTATATACTGACAAAGCCTGGCAGATCGCCACGAGAAGCGGCCGCCGGAATGGAAAAGGTGGAGCGGAATACAACGGACAAAGAGGAGAGCCAGCTTCTCGGATGGATGGATGGATGGATGGATGAATACGGCTGAGCCCTTTGGATCGGGCGGTAGCTTACGCCACCTAGCCATTTTGTTTTACCATTTAAGCTTAGAATATTTAAATGTGAAATCTATATTCACTCCGCAGTGCAAAGAAAGTGAGGCTATGAAACCCCCTTGCCATCAGTGATTAAGAAAATACCTAGTTTTCTCTCGATTTCTGCCACCATTCACTTAATCTTTGCTTGGTAATCTCTACAGTCGCTGCAGCGGGACTGGCGCCCCGCTGCGGCGAGAAGCCGAAACACACTTCTCCCGAGCGACCAACTGTGTTTCGGGTCCTCGCCGCTGCAAAAGCTGTGCGCTGACGTCCAGGTTCCCCATGGCTCTGGCTTCCCCGATAAATGTCTCTTTGATGCTCTGTGCTACAAGATCCTTGCGCTCCAAATCGGCGACCGGGCACTCTGTGGCTAAGTCGTTGAACTGCCATGCTTTGTGAGTATAGAGGAGGCTATGAAATGACAGAACCCGCAGTTCTCACTCTGTCATTTTCACACGAAAATATCCAGCAAATCTACGAGGTCATCGATCGGTAATCTTAGGAGCAACAACTCTGAAACTTTAACAAAGTAACATTCCTCAATTTATATTTACCCGAGTGAAAAAAGCGATGCAATTTTTCTGCTTGAGAAGAAGAAAACTTCCCAGCAACATAACGATCCACATATGTCCGTCCCACAAATTGTTCTTTGTGAGAATTCTTTAGTTCTTGGGATGACATGCTTTCCGAACTGTGCGAACTAGAAGTCCTGGAAGCGAATATAGAAGCTCGTTAAAACACATCGTTATTGGCTTTATGCCGGCATTGAACAGTTCATGACATTATTCTTGCTTCTTGTATAATGCAGTTCACGCTCACTAGCATGCTGAGTTTCACTTGCATTCTAACATATAGTTTTGCTTTGTATGGATTGTTTTAGGCAAACATTTATTAAAAACTGGTAGAGGTTAGTAAGAAAAGTTAAGTCAGGCGTAAAAGAGCAAGTATGAAAATCGCATAAACTGTCTCACTCTTTGTATAGCTAGATAACGTCTATATTTGTGTTACCCTTTCTTCGTTAATCTGCTGCGTATTTCGTTTACTATTAGTTGGGTTCGACATCTTAGACGCCCATAATGACACATATTTCCCTTGCATTTTAAATTCCGCTCTCGACGACTTTTATTCATCTGAACGATGGAGACCGAAATTCGAACCTCATGAATTCGGTCTACAAAACTTTTATGTGTTGTTGGTGATGCAAACATTTGGTTTCCAATATAGTGTGGCTCCAACGTATTTTTTTTGTATTAGTAGTTTGACGATACCTTGAATTTTGCAGAATAGAGTCCCCCAAGGGGTTGAAACACACTTAACTATTTTCAGGTGTGCAGAAGAGGTAAAAATATCATAAAATATTATATTAACCATTTTTTTAGAACACGTCACCAGAGTAAGCTTTATTTATTTATCAATACTACCTGGCCCAAAGGGACGTGGTAGGAGAGGTACACAAATACAAATAATAAGAAGACTACAATTGAACACCCGGGATACTGTGGCCCAAAACATTATACAATATAAATAGCACCCAATAACACATATATGTTTAAAACTTATATGTGTTAGTAATAAGGTAAAAAGTATGTTTAGAAATATTTGATATAAAATGTTCTACCTTGTGTCCTAAAATAAATGAACAATACTGAAGATAACTCGAAGTACGCGGTTATAAAAACTAATAAATGTGGTCGGTCTGTAAACATTTACTTAACCATTATGAACAGTCTAGAATCCACACAACCAGCAAAGTTAGAAACAATACTCAACAAAAAAGCAAATATGTGTAATGGTCCAGTCCTTTCCTTCGTGTTCTTGTTTTTTTCCGTGTTCAGCTGACCTGATTGCCATCAGTATGCACCAACTAGCTCAACTAAAACCCGTAACTCATGTGTTTGAATTTGGCTAATTTCCAGCATTGAAAATATTGCAATATATTCGGTTTTCGCAGCCAGAAAAACAATTTGTTTCGTCTAAGAACACATATTTTATGGCTTATATGTAGCTAACAAATAAGAAGACAAATAACATTTTAAAAGTATTATTTTTGAAAGCAAAAGAAAATATTTGTTTTTATTTTGTTAAAATTGTGTTTGCTTTATAAACTCAATATTTACGGTTTCTATGTAGTTAATTACGAAGGAAACAAGTAAACAAATGTTAAATTAATATATTTTAATACACTATTTGTTTTTAATTTTATTGAACAGATCGAAAAATAATTAGGCAGGAAAAAATTGTGTTTTGCCTAAATATGCATAAATATGTGTTGCACTATCGGGCTGAAATGGAACACAAACAGTGGAGTGACCGGCCGTCAACTCAGGCTGCGCCCCCTGGAGGCCTCTGTAAACTGATAAAACTCCTGGGTCCAGAGTGGGGCGCCGCGAGGGTGCGTGTCCTACGCCGATGTGTTTGAACCTCGCCCAGCATAACCGAAGCTTCTACGCTGCGCCGGTGGTGCGCTGAAAGTTGCATCACTTTTCGCATTTTATTAGAAGCTGCTAAGACATAATATATAAAAAAAATTTTAAAACATTGTCGCGTTTTTCTTAACTCGAGATTGTATTGTGCTTCCGGTTCATCTTCTTTTACTCTTATACACGAATAACTAATTCAAAATATGGCTGATATAACTAGGCAACTTTTGTTTTTTATGAATTTGTCGAAAGGGTGCTAAGAGATAAGCTATCTAGAGAAATCATAGAAACTGCGAGCGATGTAACATTAGTTCTATCAGCCGTAGCTTGCATTAGAGTTTTATATATAAGAGTAAACGAGGATAAAGAGGAAGCGCATTACCAACCAAAATTGAGAGTCAGCGCAGTGTGCGTGTTGTTTCTTCGTGTGAGTGAACGTTTAAAGTGTATCTCTTTTTGTGTGCTGTGAAGTCTAAGTATGATTGCATACCTTAGCAGACGATGCTACCAAGCTACAAGGCATACGACGCTAGTATGCGGCACCTTCCAACACCCGACCTCCAGCACGCGTTGCGCGCCCTCCGCCGTGCTTTGGATTCGCGCGTGTGCTTGAGGTGCACAAGACGCCGGAGAACCGTCGAAGGTAGGCAGATAGCGCTGGAGGCGGAACAAGTGAGCTCCTCCCTGCATGCCGTTCTCACCTCGTAAATGAATATAGTCGGACATGCGACAGAGACAAAAATAGCACGTGGCAATGCTGCGGTCAGCCTCTTCATAAGAACAATATCACACCGGCTCATGTTCAAACTATGCAAATGGGGTTTCAGGGAAGCTTCGTTCATCCGTTGAACTTAATACTAATCTTTGCAAAGAGTATCAAGTTATGTTTCAAGGCTAATTTTGTTATATTTTTGCCTTTTTCGCGATCCAAACGAGAGAGCCATTACTAAGATGATAGGGTTTACCTAGTCGCCTTCTACCGTATATGCAGATTTCGTAAGTAATCTGTTACGTTTTCAAGTAATTTTTAATTGTCACGTTCCTTTTTTGTGTCAATAATTTGCAATGCAACTTCGTTACAAACTAGCGGATTGCTTTAATTAGAGGATTGCTAATGAATGATCCTTTAAAATGATAGCCATCAATGTTCCTCCCATTAAAAAATTGGGAACAAAGACGATGTCAGACGCGGTTACGTGAACAGCCTTCTTGCAGTTGTTGAAGGTGCACGAGTTGTCTAAAGTGTTCGGTGTTCAGCCAATGAAACTTCATATGCTTTGAGTTGTGAAACAAAGCGGTGCTTTTGTTGCCTGAGTCGTAATCTACGCGGACGTCTCAGAACTATTTCAACAATTTATGGTAGCTGGCGCTCTCAGTTAAACTCCTTCTTCCCACGTACCGTTCGCTTCGCAGGCGAATAATTAACCTGTGGATGTCTTCGGTACCGCAAAGTCGGCGAATCTAAAACTGTCCGGAAAATATATTATCGTCGTTTTTGTATACTTGTTTTGATCCAAAGTTTAACGGCTTTTATTTCAGATTACGCAATAAAGCTTACCTTAAAAAAATAATATATATATATATATATATCAGGGTGTCGAACCGGAACCGAACCGAACCGAAAACCAGAACCGAACCGCTATTTTTTTCGGAACTGAACCCGAACCCAAACCGTTATATTGTTATCGCGATGAACCCGAACCGGAAAAAAAATAACGGTTACCGGCTCATGTCAAAACGGTTCGGCCACGCGCTGTTGACAATGAATGTGCTATCAATGCCATTTGTTTTTGTTAGAAGAAGAAGAACGGAAGAAAAAAAATTAAAAGGCTGTGCAAAAAAAAAAAAAAAAAAAATCGCGTCGCGGGATTTCATTTTTTTATAATCTCGTAAATCCTAAATGCTGCTGTGTGCTCATTTCATAACACGTTTCTAGAACGCGCGAGTTCTTGAAGCTTGCTTCCATCGGAATGAGAAAAGAAAAGGCTGTGGAGTTTGATAATAATGCATCCGGTTTCGTATAAGACGCTAACATATTTGTGAGACAGCGAACTCTTCTATTTTAATATTTATCCTACTACGTCCTTCTGGCGTTGGGTTCGGTGAAGTGTTTTTCATATTCCATATCTTGTTTAATGAAAACTTCTTTAAGGGTCTAATTTGAGTTACCGAAGGCTAGTTCAAATAAAAAAAGCTGTATTTTCTCCCCACTGTTCCTTCAAATGCTTACACGCCGAGGTGGCGGGATAGTTAGCGAGTTCTACTTGTAAGTGGGTGTGTAAGGAGGTCGCGGATTTTACAGCTACTGCGTCGGACCCAATTATATAAAGTCCGAATGCGTAAACGTCGGTGAGGTAACCTTTGAGTGCACATAAAGAAACCATTCCTGGTAGAAATCCCTGAGCCTGACACTACGATGTATCCCGTTTCGTATGTACTGATTTCAGATGTTTTATTTGTAATTTATTTTGATGTTGCAATTTGTCATTTATAATTTCCGAACCGGTTCGCGAACCGGTTCAGCGCCCCGAACCGGTTCGCGAACCGGTGCGCGGATCGAATTAATCGAACCGGAACTGAACCGGAACAAAATATATTTACCTGAACCTGAACCGTAACCGAACCCGTATTTTTTTCGGTTCGACACACTGATATATATATATAATGAGCTGTCAGCATGTTTGTGAATCGAAAATACGAAAAAATTTCATTTTTTTGCTTAGTAGGGTCGTATATAGTTGTCTCTATGTTAGCCTCTTGTCTTTAAATGCTTTCAATATTCATACTTGTAAAAACCAGTCCGGCCATTCGCTATCGTCTTGAAGAACACTAGGTTCAATTGTGCCTCGCACTCTGTACATTGTATTTACTTTGAACGATGCTTCATAAGAAGTTGTTTAAGTCGCAAATGACTCAAACTATACCACCTCTGTCAGCTCATTTTAATCCAGTATGTATGTTAGACACGCGATTTTTCTAACAGATACTTTCGAAATGAAATGAACAGGTATATGCTTCAACCAAAACAACCGGAATGTCAAAACATGTGGGACTCAAGAACCGAAATTCACTCACCTTGGATCCGAAAAGGTCTCAGTGTTGCTTATTTCTTCCTTTAAGTGACTTAGCTGCGCGTTCGACAGTAAAGTCGAGTGGGGCAAAATGTGAGTCTGATTTCATACATTTAAATGTCTTTATACTGGCATTTTACACATGTGGTGTTCGGTGTGCTCGGTGTGTCTCTCACTTGTGATTTTTTTTTTGTTGCAAACTCCAATCACAGTTTGTACTAAAAGTAAGACGACTTGTACTTTTCTTGAAATGAATAAAAAAAAATAACAAAAAATGTGTCGGAGACCATTTGATATCAGGCTGTATCCGCTTATCAACGTCAGTGTCCGCAAGCTCGAGCTGTGATTGCAG